ACCTCAGATTAGCCAATGATTTTCTATAATACTAAATCTATGCATATGAAAATGGGATGTTGGCATAAAGAATATGTAAATAAATCAAACCACCATGACTCCACGAAAGTGGCCAATTAAAAAATGTATGGCCGGCAGACCTGTATCGTTCGACTAATTTGACTGTCCGACAAAGCACAATTGATTGAGCAGGACGATACCGGGCGGCCTGTCTAACTCGCCTTGTATGGGCAACCAAATCCACAACACCTAACAAAATCTAATCCTAGGGTTGGCCGAGAAAGAAAATGTGAATGTTATGGAGGTTATACAATCACAGTGATTGACCGACGTCCGACGGTATCCAAGAAGAAGCTCTCCTATTGGTAGGAGAGACCGACGAACTTTCCAACCTCCGGTGCAGGCTCTTCTCCAAAGACAATGAAGCTCTCCCCGTGAGGAGGTTCTGAAGACGTCACAAAATCCGACAAAGGTCGTTCTCACAAAAAGGATGAAGCTCTCCTCAAGACGAAGATTTCACAAGACTCTGAGTAAGAAACCTTTTTTTTCTCTCTGCTTTCTTCGACGAAATGGCGACCAGAAAAGAAGAAAAGGCGTGAGAAGTGGAGAAAATGATGGAGAATAAAAAATAGTAATAGAAGAAGAAGAATGGAACGAGAACTTCCAGAATCATCAAACTCTTCTCCAAGAACTCTTCTAGAACAACACACTAGCTTTTTTTGGGGATCTCTTAGAACAACACACTAGCTTTTTTTGGGGATCTCCTCCTCTCTAAGAAAATCTACAAAATGATCTCCCTCACTTAATGGCTGGCTTTCCCAGTTAGCCCGAACAAAAGGGGTTTATCTCATGGTTAATGAGGAGGAAATGACCCCTTACCCCACATGGGAACATCCCAAATGAGCACAGACGCCAAAAATGCCTAGGACCTATCTATGGTCAATTTTCGACTGTTAGACAACATCTTGCTGGAAAAACAGAGACCATATCGCGAATTGAGTTTCAGCTACATGGCTACACCATGGTTACAGTGTGGACACACCGTTGCATAGGCATTGCAAACGGGCTAGTGGCATGGAAACACCCGAAGGGTGGCGTAATTACGACACCCGCTCTGTCTGGTCGGCGTGGCTAAGCCGGCCTCAGGTGTGGTCACGTTGCGAGGCTCAGATCAAACATGTAGGGGATGACCTGACTTGGCCACACCCGAAATTGGCGTTGTTACTCTACAAAACAAGCATGGCCACACCCAATTTAGTCATGGTCACGCTAGACCCAGTTGGACTGGCTTCCCAGTTACAGAGGTCTTACGCCACATTAGAAGCAGGGAAAGCCCACCCTAAGCTAAAATGACACTCTAGACTCATCCATGCTATCCGCTTCGCAATCCAGGGTGTCCATGTAAATGATGGTTTTTTTTTTTTTACGAGTAAGCCTAATCATGGTCCAATTTCCTTGTAACGTGTCGAGCGAAATTCGTTAGTCCTGTGAAAGCCTTCTGACAGACGTAATGCTGATCGACCTTTGCCTTAGTTAAAACCAGACCCCAGGAGAGCACTTTTTATAGCATGTTGAAGGATCAAAATTGGATGTTTTAATCCCTCAGAGGTTGTGCTCACGTGAAGCATACTCCATGGCCGTTCAAGAGAACACTCTACGCTTCTGACATCGAAAGATAATCTCACTTATCTACTTTGGAGTCTAAAGGCCTTTGTTTAAGTAAAACTAAAACTGAATATATGGAACATAACTTTAGTAGTAGTAGCTTTAATGATAAAGTTGTAATTGTGGGTGATCAAATTATTAAAAGATGTGAATGTCTTAGATATCTCATGTATTTTGTTCAAAGAGATGGTGATATAGATGGGGATGTTATTTGTAGAATTCAAGTTGTATGGTTGAAGTGGAGAAATGCTTCAGCTTTATTGTGTGATAGAAAAGTACTGCTTAGACTAAAAGAAAAATTTTATAAGATGATGGTGAGACATGCAATGCTATATGGTGCATAATGTTGGACTTTAAAAGAGAAGCAAATAACTAAGTTAAGTGTTACTGATATGAGAATGCTTAGGGGGATGAGTGGAATTACAATTAGAGACAAATTGGGAAATGAATATATCCGTGATAGGGTTGGTGTAGCTCCAGCGGCAGACATAATTAGAGAGAGTCGTCATAGATGGTTTGGTCACATTAAACATCGACCATCGGATGATCCAGTTAGGAGAGTAGATGTTTTACATTCGACTTATGTTAATAATGACATATGTAGACCTAGAAAACCTGGGCTTATTATATAAAAATGATCTTAATTTATTTTATGTAAATAAAAATATGACACTCAATAGGACTCAATGTAGAAAAATGATTCATGCAGCCGACCCCACTTAGCGGGCTAAAGGCTTGTTGTTGTTGTTATTGTTATTGCTGTTGTAAGAATTAAATATTCTATTTGGTAGAGGTATATTAGAAGCTATATTGGTCTGTCTATGGTTAATAGTGTATGAGAGATTCAATAAATGATTGGAGATGGTGGAAAGCTATGGCTTCAGTGTTTTTTAGTGCCGATCGAGTTAGGTTAGGAGAGGTGTAAGAGGATTGGGAAGGAGGAGATTAGAAGTTTGAAAAAAAACTTTCATATAATGTAGAAAACATAAAAGACTATCTTTCTGAAATTATTATCTTAATACATATTTTTCAAAAATACAACTAAGAATATTCTTAATAGTAAAGATTTATTTGAAAATAGCTAATTCAAATTCTACCCATTAAAATTGAGAATAGATAGGCAACACGCCTAAATAACATGAGACATAATTGAGGATTGACTTAAACACTTGAAGTAAACATCAAAATTCAAGGTTGATCAAACTCACTCTAAACTCAAAAATAAAAATTTTATACTTGTAATTATAAACGGAATCAATAAGAGCAAGCAATGACAAAAAATAACATTTTCCACATCAATAAATTATGTAAAAATAGTATTAAAAATGATTTACAAAACTAATCAAAATTAATAGAAATATTTAATCTCAACATTAAGGATTACAAAAATCTAACATAAGTGCAAATAAAAAAAATAATTAGATATTGATTGCATTGCTATTATTAAGAAGCTTCTTTTGAATTAACTGTTTAACTGTCCCAGAAACAAATTAGTAGAACATATTAATAGAAGTATGTAATAAGTGGATTTAATAACTCAAATTGAATAAACAATTCTATTTACTAAGGTATTAATAACAAGGTACAAGAGCTTGCAACATGACAATAAGAAAAATCATAATGTATTACATAATGGTAGGTAAAAAAAATCATCACATTATCATGTTAAAATAATAATGCATTTTAGTATGATTTTATTCACGTCCATTTGTATGATATGTTGTACAGTATATATTCAAATACTAATAAATCATATACAACCACATGAAATATAAACATAAATTTCCAAAGATAATTCTTTAGTCAATTATTATTTTTATTATATATAGGCATGCATACATATATATAATAAAAATTATCAATATATCATAATTAAGAAGATATACATAAACACATAAAAAATCTAATGATTTTTAAGTGATCCATCACTTTGTATGTTCATTAGCCCATTAACAAATACCTAAAATGGTTATATCACTTACACATCCATTACAAATAGTTATACTTATTTTATATATTGTAAACAAATTTTCAATAGATTTTGTATACTTTATATGACTAATGAAAGTGATTTAATAAAAGCATGGCTTCTATGAAAAGATGTATTATATTCAAATAAGATAATGTATATGAAAATGTATCTCCTTATCATAAAAATCAATTCATTATTGAAGAATTTGTACAAATGAGACAAACTATCCCCACCACAAGAAGCTTTCTATTATAAGTATTAAATAAAATTTACTAACATATGAAATATTTTATAATATAGTATATATATAGTAAGGATAACAACCACAATAAAGAAGTATATGCTTATGTATTATAAATAAAAGAAGTATATGCTTGTACATGCTTATCCTATGTTACACCCAATTATGAAGAATTAAATATTATTATAGTGGAATAAGAATTATAGTTTTAAAGTGATTAGTATAAATTAGTTTAAAATATTATCTAAATTCATCATATCGAAATACAATAAATAAATAAATTCTTGATTTGATAAAACTAAAACTCCATGATAACCAAATCCTAACCTACACAATAGATATTACCACAAAAATAATTTATCTCAAATTAATTTAAAATAAACAAAATCCATAAAAAGTTGAACTAAAAAAATCATAATAATGATGAAGATGAAGGAGAAAACATAGAAAGAGAGGAGAAAGATGTAGAGGGTATTCAGATCTTGACAACAAATGTTTTCTATTAAAAGGAAAAGAAGACTCTTGAGTAGCATCAGGTTACATAATTAAAAAAACGAGGGAGGAATTAAGAAGGCACAACAAACAACTCAAGAGAAAATGTTATGTGGGAGGTATGATGCCTAGCTCTTATATCGATCTCAAAATCTTCAATTAAGGTGAGTTTTAACTAGCAAATTGCAAAACTTGTTTCATGGTGAACAAGAAGTCCACAAAATGAGTGCTTCAACCGTGCACATCAAAGGGAGCATTGAACCAAAATGGTTAAACGAATACAAACTAGATTATCATCTTGTATCGTATGAAAATGATAATAACTATTGCATATTATCGATCTCAAAATCTTCAATTAAGGTGAGTTTTAGCTAGCAAATTGCAAAACTTGTTTCATGGCGAACTAGAAGTCCACAAAATGAGTGCTTTAACCGTTCACATCAAATGGAGCATTGAACCAAAATGGTTAGACGAGTACAAACTAGGTTATCATCTTGTATCATATGAAAATGATAATAACTATTGCATATAAAAAAATCAATATTTTACATTTTAATTTACTTGCAACAACCCAAAAACAATGCCTTAAATGAAATCAGACCCACATTCATAAAAAGCCGGAAGGGCTGTCCCCCCCCTTGCTCTTTCTCCTTCGATCAAGGGCATAGATGCAAAATCTCCTACCCCCTTTTTCTCCTTCGTCTGATTTGCTGTGAAGCTGAAGCAACCCAACAGCTAACATTTTTATATCACAACAGCCCAATCCAACCCCACCTCTCTCTCTCACTCTTCTTTTCCAAATCCCCGCTCCCCTCTCTAATCTCCATCCCCCTCTTTCAAATTATTACACAGACGCTTCTGCGTTTTTTTAAAGTTTATTGCTTTTTAATTCACCTCAGCTCCAACGGAAGACTGAGCACTCCATCCGGATAGCAAAACGAAAAGAAAAGGAAGACCTTTATGCCTCATTAGATCTGCTTTCTCGTTCTCTTCCTCGTAGTTTAAACCCACTGCAATCTTCTCTTCCAAGAAAATGGGAGCCGTTACATAACATCAATGGCGCAGAGGTTATGAGGAAGCAATACACAGATCAAAGATGTTCAAGGCAGCGAGATGGAGGACTGATAGGAATAAGATTAAAGCAGTTTTCAAATTTCAGTTCCGAGCTACAAAGGTATTTATTTGATTCGATTCTCGAATTTACTCAAAAGAGCGAGTTTTGGTGTAAAAAATCGGTGGATTTGAGGAGTAATGGCCGCCATTGTTGCTTTTATCTCAGGTTCGTCATGAGGGATGGGAGGAGCTCATGGTTTCTCTGTTTCCGATGGACGCTGGAAAACCGACCGCGAGATCGGAGAAGGTGGCGGTTGTCAATGGATCATGCAACTGGGCGATTCCAATTTATGAGACTGTGAGGCTGATTCAGGATTCAAAAACCGGGAAGATCAATGAGAAAAATTACAATTTTGTTCTCTCAGCCACCGTATGAACGCAGAAGATCTCCTTTAATCTCCTTTAATCTGTAATCTGAGACTTCCCCTTTTTCTGATTTGATCTGCTTGTTGCAGGGTTCGGTGAAATCCGGGGTTTTGGGGGAGATCGTCGTCAACCTAGCAGATTACGCGGAGAGCATCAAACCCTATTCTGTTTCTCTTCCTCTCAAAGCGCCCAATGCTGAAACAGTTCTGCATGTCGGTAGTTTCTTCTTTATCAGAAAAAAAATTACATCTTTTTCCTCATAATGCTGAAGAAGTTACTGAAATCGTTCTAGATATTTTTCTGCAAATCATTTATTGATGATGGTTTCTGGTTTTTTTCATCAATGGCAGGTTACTGTGCAAAGAGTGGCGGGTGAAGCTGAGGGGAGGTAGAATTTTGCAGTTTTGAAGTTTTTATTTTTATTAGTTTATACAAAACTGATTTTTTTCTGCTACTTGTTTTGATTATTCAGAGTATTGGATGAGGATGGAGACAGAAGTACAAAGCAGCCGCAGCGAAGAACCCTAAGGAGCCAAATGGGCGATTCTGCAATGGAAGAAGGAAAAGTTTTGGCTAAAATTGGTGATGGAATTAAACCAACTGAGGTATTACTGAAATTTATTAGTATATTGGTTGTAACAGTGAAATTTAATCTGTAAGTTCTTCTTTCAATTATGAATGTGTTATTTTGGGGAAATGTGTAAGCATCCAAATGTTAATTCTGTAAAAATTTTAATTTGCTTTTTTTTTTTAACTTGTAAATATATATTGTTCAACTGAATTTCCATAAGGCACAAAATTACAAGCAACAAAACTTATTACTGTCCATTAAATTAGTAATAAATCCCCATTAATCATCCTTAGACTAATTACTAACTTTAATGCACAAAATATATGTAATAGCCCTCTTCTTAACATCCGCAAGTAGTGATAAAATTTGTGGGCATTTACTTGCATACCACTAAATTCCTATTTATTTACATATCTAAGACCTAAATTTTACATTTTACATTTCTACCACCCATATCCTTCATATCACATAAAGAATGCCACTATTTTCACTTTTTACAAAGTAAAATACACCTTTTCATCCATAGGTAAGGTGACATATATATGTAAATGTTAAAGTTTTGGTATAGGTGACATATATCTAAAAATTGAATTTTGGATATGTAAATACATAGGAATGGAGTGGTAGCATGTATGTAAATCTTCCTGAAATTTATGACAACTCCAACATAAATGAAACCAAAGTTGATTGCTAATATGTTTAAGATGTTCATCAGGAGGTCTCATGCGCTGAAAACCAATCAAAAGCAAAATTTTCATCGAGCAGAATCATGGCAGTCCATGTAAAAACAAAAGGAAATCTCCAAAAATCCTTCAGTATGGACACAATATCAGCATCTGGTTCAGATAGCAGCTCGGATAGATACAACCCGAATGACAATGGAGCGAAGAATAACATCAGCCAACATGAATTTGGAAATTCATTATCTCCTCTAAGCAGCGCCGACACTCCTCGAGATCCCCTTATCACTTCTGGCAACGATTGGTCGATCATTTCTGCTCCCTATGGAAGCACCGATGGATTGAGCAGCAGTTCTGGGGAGGCATTGCTGCGAGAAGGAAGACAAGAATCAGAGAATTTTGTCGAAAAACTTAATAATGATGCTGTTGTGTTGACGAGACAGCTCGAAGTATCAAAGTTGGAGCTACAGACTCTTAGAAAGCAGGTCGTGAAAGAGAGCCTGCGGGGACAGGAGCTCGGGAGGGAGTTGCAGAGTATGAGAGAGGAAAGAGACAGGCTTGAAAGAGAATGTGTGGAGCTGAAAGCAAAGCCACAATTTGGAGGAATGAATAAATGGTCATTACTCGAAGAAACGAAGCACGAGCTGAGTCATGAGAGAAGCTTGAATGCGAACCTTCGTTCACAACTGAAGAAGATGATTGAGTCCAATGCTGAATTGGAGGAGCTATTACAGCAGAAGAAGAGGCAAAGCACCTCCGAAACTGAGAAAGATTTGGAGGAGAGGAAGTTTAGAAGTGGACTAGCACAATTTCATGACTTGGAGTTGCAGCAAAACTCACTTGAAACTCCCACATTTGAGGAAGATGAACAATATGCGCTTGATGTGTTGGTCAATCAAGCTAATGATTTTGATGGCTTGAGTTCACCGGGTCTCAAGATTGCACATCTAACGACTGAGTTAGAGCTGTACAAAAAGGAGCGCGAAGAAATCGAGATGCAGATGGAACAGCTTGCGCTGGATTACGAGATATCAAAACAGGAAAATCATGAGATTTCGAAAAAGCTTGAGCAGATCCAACTCAGAGAACAGTTGAGGATGCAATTTGATTGTTCGGCTCATTTTGCTTCGATTAGCGAGTTAGAAGCCCAAGTCGAGAGCTTGGAGAGCGAAATCGAAAGACTGACAGAAGAATTTCAAGCTGACCTGGAAATTATCAGTAGGGACAAAGTTGAGCAGGAGAAAAGAGCCATTAATGCGGAGGAGGTGCTGAGGAAGATGAAGTTGTATAACTACCATGCAGCCGAAAAGTTGCAGGACGAGTTCAAGAGGTTGGTGGCACAAATGTCGTCAGCATATCATACAAACGAAAGGTTGGTCATGCAAACACTAAAAGAATCTAATGAGCTACAATTGCAAAAATGTGAGCTTGAAGAGATTTTAGAGAAGAAAAACAAGGAGCTTGATTTAGTGAGACATGAACATCAAATTAAATCCCAGCAGCTACTAAATCTAATAGATTTCAAAACAAGGGAAGTGGAAAGCCTGAGTTTGGGACTCAAGGAGAAGCGTGAGGAGCTTGAAAATCAGTGTACGGCTGAAAAAGCTAGACAAAGAGCATCCTCAGAACGAATTGCGCAGCTTACGAGTGAGGTTGAAAAGCTCTCGAAAAAAAAAGATCGACTTGCTGAAGAGATTAAACTAAAGAAAGATTTGATGGAAGAGATGGAGCAGCTGAAAACATCGTTTGGCGAAAGCAATATGCTGCTGCGAGCTAGCGAAAAGGAACGATCTTTACTTGAAAAGGAGGTTTCTTTTTTGAAGGAGGAAGCGAAGAAGTCACTCGAGGAGCTGAACGATCTCAGGAAACTAAAATTTGAGAATGATGCGACTATTAGAAATCTCTGTGATGATGGACTAGAAAAGGAGAATCTGAGGAAGCAAGCTGCTGTTATTGAGAAGAAGGCGAAGGGCCGCAATGCAAAATTCATAAATTCTGACGGACTCATGAAGTTATCAACAAGAAGCAAGATTAGTTTGCATGAGAAGACCCTTCTTCCGGAGGTATTTTTGCTGTTGTTTGAAAATTTGTGTAATTTTTATGTTTTTTCATTAACATTTGAGAATTAGGACAATCAAGGATTCAAATCTTCAACAAAAAAATACCCATACATTATATTAGTGCACAGATAAATATTACATATATCATCCATGAAGTTGACTTTAAATTGAATTGAACTTATTTGGAGAGATTTATATTCGAGTTGGAGCATGTCAATTTCAATTTTGATCGATTGAAACTAGAGTGATTAGGGTTTCGAAGTTCAGACATGATTACTTCCATGGATTTGCTGTATTTTGGTTTCGTTGTGTTTGAACATGTGCTCCTTAAAAATTGCTTTCAAATCATTTTTTTGGGGGCATTTACATGCATTCCACACAATTCTTATATAGTTACTTATCAAACACCTAAACTTTCTTATTTACATTTCTAATATTCAAATCCTTGATGTCACTTTGGATGTGTCATTATCCCTAACTTTTTAAAGGTGAAACAAACCTTTTCATGCATAAGTTTTAATACCAATATGTTATAAATGTAAATATCAAACTTTCAGTGTTATAAATGTAAATGCACAAGAACAGTGTGGCCTGAATGCAAATTTGCTTTTTTTTTATAAATTTCTTTTGCTTTTCATGCTGCAGTTAGAACATTGAACTTTTTTTTAAAATTTATTAGTCCCTGATATTTAGAAGAATGTAGAATGGCAGAAGTGATGGAGATTATGTGCGAAATCACATAATGGAAGACAAGAAAAAACTGAAGGATTTAAACAGCATTGGAACGGCATTAATCATAAGGTAAAGTTTTTATGACAAATCCATAAAATGAAGACAATAAATGCAAAAAATATTTCAATTAATCCTCAAAAAAACTCATTTTTTTGTGCAGTAATGGCGTTGAAAGTCCAGAGATTGAAGAAGAAAGATCAATCTTATGCAGCTGTGAACAGCAGAAAACTACAAAAGTGCCGTTAGAAATGGCAGAACTGAAGAAACAAAATCAAATAATGGAAACTGAGCTAAATGAGATGCAACAAAGGTATTCTGAAATGAGTTTAAAATTTGCAGAAGTTGAAGGAGAAAGACAACAGCTTGTAATTAAAATTCGCAGTCTAAAAAATTCTTTGAAAATTGTTTGATTTCTTGTGTTGATTGAGTGCCTTTTCTTCTTTTTGTTTGTATAGGCGAGAATCTGGCTTTGCTTATCGAGAGATTCAGCTCTTGATATTTATTTTTGTACCGTTATACATTTCCCTATATAAAGAAATAGCATCTGCTTTTATGCATAGAAATTATATGCCAAACACTGAAATTTCCTTTTTTTTTATCCCTTTGAGTTCATCATTTATTTGAGCATAGCAATTCACTTAAGAGGTGGAACATACCACACAAATCTTAATGTATTTAGTATTTACATATCTAATACATACAATTTGTTATTTGCATTTATAGCACATAGGTGTTATAAATTTATGCATGTTAAAGTGTGCTTCACTTTTAAAGAGTTAATAATAACGGCACTTTTTATGTGATGTTAATGATTTGAGTGCTATGCATGCAAGTATCAAAGTTTAGGCATTTGATATGCAAATATATAAGAGTTGTGTGGTATTTATATATTGCCCCTTCTTTGATTCTCTTTCAACTCACCACCATTAGTCTAGCTCCAAAACTAGTTCATGGGTACAGTTGATTGACACAAAGTCTTTTGCTAGTTAAGGTCGACTTTAATTTGTCCCCTTAAATAAATATCCATCCCAGATCTATAAATTCTGTGAGGTTGGGTCGACTACCTCCTTTGACTAAGTAGATCATTGACCACGGTGACTCGGGATGACAAAATTATGGTATCTTGATCAGGTTTTGTCTTCATTTCCCCACCATCCGTATTTGTCCCCTTAAATAAATATCCATCCCAGATCTAAAAGGATATCTTGGAGGACGCCACCCATGGTTGCTGATAAGACTACTTCTGTCAGGTTGGGTCGACTATCTCCTTTGACTAAGTAGATCATTGACCATGGCGACTCGGGATGACAAAATTATGGGATCTTGATCAAGTTTTGTCTTCATTCTCCCGCCATCTGCTGATGAATTCTACATTTTAAATCCCTAGCCTGTTGCTATTATATGTTGAATATTGAATTCTTAATGACTAGCCTTAATTAAAAAGTGTGCTTCTGTTATTAAGATGGGTAATTAACCATAGGTGCTTGTGTCTATGAGAAACCTCGAATCCTAGATAAAAAAGTCTTTGCTAAATGAGGGCAAAATCTCTGGGTAGTGCTTATCTACAATTCAATCTATCTTCTGAAAATTCAACCCTCCTAAGCTCTCTTTCAAAACAAAAATAAAAAGACATGTAGAGAGAGTTATCTAGGGAGCGGTTGCGAATTTTCGAAGCCCACTATTTTATAGCTTAAGTCAAGTTAATTAAATTAACTGATTATGAATTGAGTTCAACAAGCCACCATCAATTACACCAACTCGCTTAAAGGACATTCAATGGGTTTGCTTTTAACTCGTAAAGGAACTCGATATTTATTATTTGAAGATCACAGCGAAATTCTATTCTAAGAAAACAAGATGTATTCTATCCCATGGTAGAGGACCTTTAATCAATGTTAAATCTAATGTACCTTGATGGGGTGTTTGAGTGGATTTGACAAAGAGTTTACACAACAATCTTGAATAAGTGGGTGACTTGTTTTGGACCTGAAAATCATACACTATCATTAAATCTAGAATAATGGCTATGGTGATCCCTTCCATATTCATTTCCTATCTAGTCCAAGAGAAAATTTGCATCTATCAACCCTTTATTGCTAACTACTCTTTTTAGAAGAGAAAGTTATAGACTAAAAGTGAGCTAAGGCTTGCTCATTACCTAGATCTTATATCTTTATCTTCCCTCTTATGATACCATACACTACTTATTTTTATGAATCAATATTTCTCAGCACGCTTGATTTTTTTTCCTGTAACTACTAAATCCTCTTAGATTTAATGGACCCTAATAATGGCTATGGTGATCCCTTCCATATTCATTTCTTATCTAGTCCAAGAGAAAATTTTGTATCTATCAACCCTTTATTGCTAAATACTCTTTTTAGAAGAGAAAGTTATAGACTAAAAGTGAGCTAAGGCTTGCTCATTACCTAGATCTTATATCTTTATCTTCCCTCTTATGATACCATACACTACTTATTTTTATGAATCAATATTTCTCAGCACGCTTGATTTTTTTTCCTGTAACTACTAAATCCTCTTAGATTTAATGGACCCTATCATTGTAATGTTCTCTTCCCTAACTTAATAGGAGAGCACATGTAATTAGTTCTTTGTTTAGTGAGAGGAGTACTATACAACATACATCTTAAAATGACGTTGCATATTGAATTGTTTCTTGATTGATGATTCATGTCACTTCAAGCAAACACGACGAAATTCCCCTAAGAAGAGGAAAGCCTCAACACTATGAGTGGCTCAATCGGTGAAAGCATGAAAAGATTGAAACTTAAGAGGCTGGAATTGATAAACTCTTCTTTTAAATTTTGATCTGTTTTCTTAAATCTTTGATTTTAAGATCCCAGAGAAGAGTTATACCCTTTCAGGCCTGAAGGGGAATATTAACCACCTTATTCCTAGCATTTGGTGTAAGTGAGGGTTAGACAATATGTCATAATCTTCTTCTATGTAGATGCATTTAAGGAAGATAAGCCCTCAATAGTAAATAAGGCTCTAGCCAATCCATGGACAAACTATTTCATACTGTCTATTGAAAATCGAGTCAAACGTGATTGCGATGAAGTTAAAGATGCTCCATTATCTATGCTAATTTTAAAATTGGATTTTATTAATTTTAATTACTTTCTTAGAAAAATGTTGAAGTTTTGTAATTTTATACACATTATGGACTTTTATTGGTGATCTAGGTTTGAATCAACATTGTGACAATTTTGCAACAAACTTAAGATGACATTCAATTATATTCTAAATTTCAACTACTTTTGTAACAAATTTGTGATGATTGCAACCAAGACGTCTACAAACTAACATCAAAATTGTTGGCTTAACAACATGCTGCCTTTGAAATTTGTCACGATGATATCTGTAATATGTCTAAAATCATTTCAAAGTTTATATCATATAAAGTTATTACAAACAGTTGTAATAATTCTGCATCAAATTATCCATAATTTGGCTTAACATGTCTCATAATCTTATCCTTTTAGCATAGGCATATTTAAGTTCATTGCACAACCCCCAATGCCAGAGGCATTGGATAATAAGAAAGATAATGATAAATAACAATTTAATATGTCAATAATTCCAATAATTAATGGTGGAGGAGAATCATAAGAGAAGGAAATGATTTGTTTTTTCTTCGATGTAGATATCATGTAATATATATTTACAAGTTTTTAACTATTAATAGTATAATAGATGAATAAATTCATAACGTTGCCCACGTGTGAGACCCCAACGAAAAACAACTAAAAAAATTGGGCGAACATGACACTATAAAGAGCAATATGTCAGATTCAACTATGATTACAATTCGTCAAAAACTGATCTAGTTCACCACCAACATGACTTGTCGTTTGGGTCGAAGACTAAAGGCAACTCGCTTAATGATTAATTTGAACTAGCCGAACTGCCGACCCAAACTAGGCAATCTAGCCCACACAACACTTAAAAGACAACTTCAGTCCTAGTTTTCTCATCTATACCCGAAAACAAGATGAGCTGTTAGACCCAACCAATTTAGCCCACACAACACTTATGACCATTGAAGTACTAAAAGAACAAACTTGCCTTCTAACATTTCTATTAAAAAGGCGAGGAAAGCATATCTTTCAACATCAATTCTACCAACTCCAAGGCCTTAGAACCCAACAACTCCTCATAAGTCAGGTATTCCCACATATACATCAAGATTCTTGTGGGGGAAGGTCTTTCAAAGCATAATGCCTGGCTGATTACTATATTAAGTTATTTCATTAGGATTAAAAGATAAAATAGTCCTTAACAAGAAATGACTTATATTTGTCCTTCAAATGATTCTTTTGCAACCAACATACCCTAATTGAAAGTTAGATTGAGTTGATTTCTAATAAACACCAAGTGCATGTTACTTCAGCTGATAAAAAAAATTATTTTGATTTAATTATTTGTAGGATAAATATATATATGAAGGAATCCTCCAAAACAAATAAAAGATTGTAGGTGATAAGTAGGTGTCATACATGCCAAAGTTGTTGTGCCTAATTTTATATTTAAAGGATAAATACAATCACCCATATCAAAAAAAAATTTTGGGTCATTTACATACATACCTTACGATTCCAATGTATTCACACAACGAACACCTTAACTTTGCTTTTTTTAACTCTCTGCCATCTAAATCATCAAAAATATCACGATTTTAACCTTTTCAAAAGTGAAATACATATTTTCATGCATAAATAAAGTGACATATATGCGTAAAAACATAGTTTTGGTGTACTGAGATATGTAAATATGTATGATTTGAGTGATATGTATGTAAATCTTCCTTTTTTTTGTACAAAGCACAACATATTTCTCAAATATAATATTCCTCAACTAAAATAAACAATTGCTGACAAGAGAAAAACAAGATTCTTGATCAAATTACACAATTTCAGAAACTCTTACAAAAAAAAAATGATTATTTAATTTATTTCTTCACATCCTTCTTCTCATCCTTCTTCTCCTCTTTCTTCTCCACCTTCTTCTCTTCCTTGGCAGGCCCAACTGATAATATATCAATCTTCCCTATTTTCTTCAGTTTCTTTGCAATTGCTACAGTGTCCATCTCCCCTATCACAGTCAACTTCTGGTCTTTAAGGTCTGCAGCTATTGAATCAACTCCTGTTCATCAAATTATGTCACATTATCACAAATTTCATATTTTTCTTAATTATTTCTCTCACCAAAATTGTTTTCTTTATTTAAAAAAAGTGCAGCTATTGAATCAACTCCTGTTCATCAAATTATTTCACATTATCACATATTACATATTTTTCTTAATTATTTCACTTCACCAAAATTATTTTCTTTATTTAAAAAAAAGGAATGAAATTATGTTATAAGAAGTAATGTGGCTTTTTGCAAAACTCTATATTTTAGCTGTTTTTTCAAAAAATTACGTTTTGCAGCAGTTTTTTGAATAACAGTTTCTTCAACCAAATGTGGCTTTTTGCAAAACTCTATATTTTAGCTGTACAGTTTCTTCAACCGCTGCTTCACAACCGTCTAACCAAACAGATCTAAAGCGAACTCTGTTTATGTTGAATCTCAAATGCAATTTGTCTTTGATTGAGAGCTAAAAATGTGAATTAATGAGTAAAATATGTGATTATTAATAATTTATTTCAAGAAATAAATTGAAGAAAATAGAAAATAAAACTGTACCGTAGATATCAGCAACAGCTTCCATGGCTCTCTGCTTTGTTTTGTCATCATTCATGGCCAGAATTTTCAGAATAACTTTCTGCTATTTTTCAGATCAAAAATAAAAATAAAATAATAATAATAATAAACTTTGGGAAATGAGGAATAAAACGTAGGGAAATGACATATTTTTAGAGTTATAAATTAAAATATTTGAGTACCTGTGCCATCTAAAGTGATGAAGAACGGAGCCTTCTGCTTCTGCTTCTGCTTCTGTGCAGCTTCTCTCCTTGTTCGTAAAATGAAGATATTTCCTTATTTTCAATTATATAAATTTTAGGTATACATTGTTCCTGCGGAACAGTTTATGGTATGTGTTTGGTGAACTGGTGGCCAACTCTTTTTTTCTTTCACTCAAAACTAATTTGTGGCTCAAATTGATTCAATTATAAGTAGATTTGACATAAAACAGTTCAAAATTAATATTAATTAGTTTATATATTTTAAAATTATAATGTCGTCATCGAATATTTAGGGGGTTGTCATAAGAACTTGGCTTGTGTTAAGTTTTTTTTAGGGATGATAACATATAGATTGGGCTGTCAAAAAAGCTTGTTGTTCGCGAACTGCCCGTGTTCGATTTGTTCGTTAAGTAAGCGTGTTGAGCATAAATGAATTTTTTAAGCTCGAATTATAAACGAGCCGAACACGAACAACTCTTTGTTAGCTCATATTTGGTTTCTACATTATATATTATATATAAATATATCTAAGTATAAATCATGATAGCTCATGATATAATGTGGTTCTGCTGCATCTTCTTTTGCATAGATTTGATTCTAGTTCGAAGCCAACACTCTACATCAATTTATTTAATTAATTTTAACGAGCAAATTTCAAGCCGAGCATGAGTCAAACACGAACAAGAATATTTAAATTGAGCTGAACACGAACACACTGTCATGAGTCAAGCACGAGCTCACTCAAGCTCGGCTCGTTACAGCCCTACATACAGACCATTCGAAACATTGGTATTTATAAATTAAACATCGAGGTGATCTTTTTGAACTACAGAACCAATGTGTCTACGTGTGCCACTACTAAACTATTTAGCAAATGATAAAAATAATTATTAATAAAGATGAGATCACAAGATGTTGTAATCATAATTATTTTGAAATAACACATATGACTGCTATTGTCTAATTAAAATTTTCATGTTGGGCCTATAATTGTCATAGTTGGCTATATAAACTGTGGTTACTGACTATTGACAACTGTAGTAATGTTCCTAAAGTTATAATTGGAGACTATAAGAGTTGTTGTTGGTTACATAAGTCATAGTTACAAGAGGTTATAATAACTGTAGTAGAGCGATCAAAGCTGTAGTTGGTGGTGGTTAAAAATGACTGATGAACAACAATGAGCTCTGATTGGCAAAGATGACCTCTAGCGTTCAACCATGATATATTAGGTAACTGACGATAACTATCGAAACTTTAATCGTTAAATTTTAGCAGTTAGCTCACTATTCTTTTCTCCTCTTCAAGTGAAGAATGGGATAATTTTTAAGAGCGGCTTTTTAGTGTGTGCGTGTATGCGTGCCACCTTATCTATGCATGAAAACTTGTATTTCATTTTTTTTAAAATTAAAATAATAATATTTTTATATGATAAAAAAGATTTAAGTGGTATAATTGCAAATAAAAATGATAAAAAAAAAAACATTTGGTGCTATTTTCTTAAGCTTATTCTGATTTATACGTATTATATTTACCCAAACATAAGCACATGGCCGAGCTGAAAATATGACGCTTAGTTTGACTGATTTTATAAAATTCAAGCTCAATTTTAATATAAAATTAGGAAGATACGCTTAGTTTGACTGATTTTATAAAATTCAAAATCAATTTTAATATAAAATTAGGAAGATTTGCATACATTCCACTCAATTCTCATGTATTTACGTATATACCATATAAACTTCGACTTTTGCATATATATCTTCATATATCATGCACCCATGCAAGCAAAATGTGCATTTTCCCTTTCAAAATTTAAAATAGTGACATTTTATATGATATGAAATTTCGGTGGCACGAATATAAAAAATGAGTTGTTCACATGAACATTGTTACGCTCTTCATCCATTTTTCAAATTCTCACTCGAATATCAAAATTCATGATATATAAAACTCCAGACCATGCAATGGTTAGATTTTGGCAGGCATAAATATGTCGGTTTGATAGTTCAAAAATATCGTATGACTGCTTGATTTTGTAAATAGCAAAGTTTTCGGTGCTGTTTAATTATCCGAGAAAGAAGTATTAGATATGTAAATACATAAGAATTGGAGGGTAAATGCCCCTAAATGTTTGATGATGCCATCATTTTTGAAATATGTTATAAATGTTTGTTTGATATGAAGAAGGGATGTCAATTTTTGAAGTTGGAAAAAGATAAAGATGGCCAAAGAAGCCGGCCATATAATAGAAACAATAATTATGCCTATCAAAATGTTCAAGATTCTCGTTTTTCAACTATTTATGTCATTTTATGGTGACAAATAATTGTAGTATGCTACATTTCAATTATATTACCATCTCAAACCAATAAAGTCAACGTCGGTCGTTGCTATCAATGCTGACATCGATATTCGCTAATAACACGAATGATTATCTGTTTTTACAAAGTTCGCGTTTTTTTAGACCAACTTTGATGTCTATTGTCAACAACAATGCTAATGTTCGACAACTCTACTAACGTTGATAGCCACCACGCATTATCGTTGCCTAACTTAACAACTACCTTCAATATAAGGGGCGAGTATTCGGTTTAAAACGATTGCTGCCAGAGTTTGAAATCCGAAAAAATCAAACCAATATGCTTTTTTTATAAAATAGAAACACATCTTCGAAATTAAACCAAATCAATCGAATTTATTCGGTTCGGCTCAATTTTTTTGGCTTTGATCAAATAATGCAAGGCTCATCGAATTGAAGTCAATGTTGGTATTCATAAAGAATGTCCACACCATGGTCATCGGATAGAATGTAAGAGCCCACAATCCATCTATTCATGATGATTTATCTCTCAAATCTCTTTCTATTTTCATCTTAAAACATATATTTCATATTCTCAAGAATGATAAGTCTCGAGTGCATTAATTTAGGGCTTTTTCTTCTACTTTTGAGGTACGAACTATCTCCTTTGATTGCTCGTACAGTCGTGCACCACGATTAATCACAAAATTTCTAACTACTCGCGTGTATCTAGTTACCCAAAGGAATAATGAAATGTTATAAAAAAAGTAAAAGAATTTAGAATTTTTTCACCACTTTCAAGTTCTTATTCTCATTTGCATTTTATGATTCATAGCAGTTAACGAAAGTTACTTTAAGTTATATATTTATTCATTTATTTAAATTTATGTCATATGTTATATCATTGTAAAGGAGAAGATAAAGTATATGAGAATGAGGAGAGTAAATGTAAAGTGAAGGATCTACTTTCCTAATATGAAACCCAAAGTTGAGAAGATGTTGAGTGAATGTATGCTTCCATTGTCTCAAGGTCTGTTTAAGACCATAAAGTTAGTTTCTGTAAAAGACACACATGATTTGGATAGGCTACATCTTAATGACTGGGTGGTTTATGCATGTAGAAGGTTTCATAATGATGGCTGTGGAGAAAAGTATTGAAAACGTCCATTTGGACAATTTTATGGACTAGTGGAAGCTAACGGTTTACATTGAGAATTAGTGGAAGCATGAAAAGGACTACGATGACATTTTGTTGTAATACTAGAAATACAAAAAGATAAATGGATTGAAATCTGTAAACCATTTTGTTTTTGATGTCACACGTCGGACTGAGTGGTGACCAAAACTAAGACTTGAGGATTTGTATGGATGTGATGCGATCCATCACTACAAGGATTCTGAAGAAGAAGTTGTTGAGTAGTCCGATCCTTTATTTGATAGACATGAGCATCGAAAATGATCATGCAATTATTATCACGAGCAAGTTGAGACATAGATATCAAGTTATGAGAGGAAATAATTGTTTTAGGCGTTTGGTTGAGGGTAGGTAATAAACCATTTCCACTATGTTGAATGGGAATAGTGTGGCTATTCCCTACTGCCATCACACTCTCAATACCTTGATAAGGTTCAGGGTGACGGAGTTGAAGATAATCGGCAGTTAAATGTGAGGTTGCTCCTGTATTGAGAT